AAAAATATTGTGTACAAAGAGATCCTTCAACGACTATATATATTTGTCGATTTCAGTGTATTTTCTATATATTTCAATAATACCAATAACCCTGGTTTTTTTTTTAATTATTCTGCAATATCTATATACATTTATATTTTATTTATGCGTTTCCCTGCGTTTAACGCGGGTCATAATCCAGTTATATAAATCAAATTGTATCAGAATTTTGTTGTGAGGATTTGTCTATATTTGGCAAAAATAATATAAATTAATCAAAATGTACTGGAATAGCGTTTGGTTAGAATTTTGTTTTGAAAATTGAAATCAATGCTTAATGAAATAAATTTATGAAATCTTCACCTTGATATGAATTATCAAACACATTATTCATTTTTTTAGCATTGGGTAATCTAACATTAAAATTTAATCGATCAAAAAGAATAAAAATATATGCCATACACGTAATTAACAACAACTTATTTGTAAAATCTTCAGCTCATTGGAATCGGATGTCATTTCTTTTTTCCCATTTTGTCTGAAATACATTCTGAATTGGGGATGAAAAGGGTCCAGAATGAGGCAAGGTTATCCATCTCTTTCCCTGTCCCCATCCCCAACGGGTGCGGGTAATTGAATCCCTCACCTTTAAAAGTTGAGTTTATTACCCGTGTGTCATCAACCCATTCATGACCCAATATACTTTTCTTCTATTACTATTCAAATTCACTGTCAACAAGTTAATATTTTCTATGATAATTTGATACTTTTAGTAAAAATATTAACCATTATTTACTACTATAGTAACACAACTTTTATTTCCAACTTTTACACTTATACTTTCTATTGAAAATGAAACATTGGCCGAAAATGGTGTATGGTCGAAAACCATGATCAATCTACACGATTCTTTAATAATAATTATTATCTCATAGTTCAGTAAAATTTCCAACAAGGTTAAATAATCAGTTCCAATCCATTCATCTAACTCATTTCCTTTAGATTCCGGTTGTTTTGTTGTACCATAAACATAGGCATAGCTGATCTTCCTTTTTGCTCCTAACGCCAACTGAATGGAGAATTTCCATTGAATCCAGTTTTCGTAACCAGTAAGAAGTGTAGAAACAAAAAACATGTTTGGAGAATCATGTCCTTTAGGGATAAGTGTAGAATTGAGTGAATTAATATTTGAATTGATATCCATAACTGGATCAGTATTCATCTTTTATAAGAGAAATCAATTTGGATAGAAAAAAACAGATTGTAACTTGCTCTGATAAAATTCTAACATACAGAGAAAATATGAAGAAGAAGATGAATAGTGAAATGAGAATCTTAATCTGTTATTACCCTTCAACTTCTATTTATATTACAGAGTACATTGATTTATGGCTATTACTAATCAGCTAACTAATGAAGTAACTAACTAACTGATCTAACAAACTTGAATAATTACACACGTGGTGAATCTTTACAAATGTCCAAGTGAAAATTAATGTGAACTTATATGTTAATCTGCTTGAGGGTTTGTTGGGTGATTTTCTAATTGGTCGTGACAGTTACTAGACAAAAATCCAAGCAAATTTATGATTATGTGAAGAAACAAATTATGGTTTCCAAACCCCATATTCCCTTTATAAAAACTACTAATTCATTTGGGTTTCTAATACAAACGATCAAATGTCACATTACAATAGACAACTTTCTTGATAAAATGATTTGTATTCCTATGATTGCAACTGATATGCACAAATCAAAGGAAATTATAATTGAAACACGTCTCTAAAACCATTAGGATGAGAAATCCATTGTTCGAGAAGATTCCTACAAATCACTTTAAGTCGATCATCTATTCGCAATCCTACTTGAGCAGCTAACCAGTCCAAATATTCGAACTGTCATAAAAACCATCAATTTCAAAGTTTAATAAGTAGTTCATTTGACAATCAAAGTCAATATAGGAATGAACAAAATCCAATCAATATTACTTGAAAGAGAAAATTACTAAGAATACCTTCATAGTTATGCTTTTACCTAAAATAACAATGTACTTCATTTACTAACCAATAATAGCGATATATTTTTTATTTTTTTACCCATAAAAGCCACATAGCTGCATTTTTTTAACCTATAATAGTGACATACTTACATTTTGCTCCAACATGGGAAACGTATATTATTTTTAACATACTCTATTATCGGTAACAAAACGTAAGTACATTTTGCTATTGAGTAAAGAATTATAAGAATGTTGCTATTAAGTGTAAAGAAATGAAAGCATGCTGCTATAAAAGGTAAAATGTAAAGTACATTGTCTATTGGTAAAAAAGGTAAACTACGTGCTATTTTTCTATGTAGTATTCATAGTAAGAATTGAGATAATACCTTAAAACCTAGTGAATGAGTGTAGCGCTTTGGGATCCCATTTTCCTCCATTTCTCGATAATGTTTGTGAACATCGGCTAACATCTCGTCTTCCGATGGTAATGATATTTTCCCGGACAATGCAAGTGCTACCCACTTCGATTGCAGCTCAAACATTTGAAAATGAACACCTTGATCTTCATAATGATATTAAATGAGTGTTCATTACTCAATACAGAAAGAATAACTTAATAAAGAAAGTCGGAGAAATAAGTCTTTTAAATCCAATGTTTTATAAACTCGCCCTCGTTTATTTCCCAAAATATGGCGTCATTTTCTCAAATATTTTTAAGCATCATTTACCAAACAAGTTACTTAAATAGAAAAAGAAAAGAACATGGTTTAGTTAACGGATGTACGTACTATATGTTAGTCCAACAAAAGCTAGTCTAGGTGCGAGTTGTGGAGGGAACACATGTTTGTAGAGTGGTCCAACACGATTGTCATCCACATGCACAACATTGTTTGTTCTTAGAAAGGGGAAATGGAATTTGTACCTATCAAATGCACCGAATCAAATAAGAGTTTTGCGGTTTATTTTCATAGAATTTCAAAAATAAAACATGGGCTCTGAAAAAAAAAAAAGAACAAAAAAAAGGGTTTTGGATGTAGTTCATACCCCGTGCAATGTAAGATAACATCCGCTTCAATAGATTCTCCATCTTGGAAGAAGATCGTTCCATCATCATAAACACGGTTAATCTGTTCAAATGTCAAAATTTTGTTCAAAATGGTCTCATTTGTTACACATGACAGATAGATTGTATTATGTCTGCCATGAACCGAACTGACACAATGTCTAGAGGACAAATATTGCATTTTTTTTGCACCACCTAAAAAGGTGTAAGAGGGTCTCACTCTCCATATCTCATCTCATCATCAAGACAAGATAGATCGTACTCATCATCAAGACAAGATAAATCGTACTGCATTTGACGTGCATTGGATTGACAATCTGACACCCCAAAAAATTTGTTTAAACACACAAAGACTTGGATGTACCTTTGAATGTTGCCATATATTTTCATACACATCCAACTTTGAGACCTTGACATTTAAAGATCTTGACGAAAGATGAACCTCTTTGGCAACTGTTGCGATTTCTCGAGATATATCGAGTGCACTAGGCCCGTTCCCAATCACTACCACGACCTATTATTGTGTCGAAAATATTGATACACTTGTATTTATTAGTTAAAACGAAACAAAAAATATGAGAAAGATGTATACAAACTTGATCTCGATATGGTTCAGGAACACGATAATTGTGACTATGAGTTTGTTTTCGTGACCATTCCTCGATACCTGCCTCAATTTATGCAAACTAAAATTTAGCTATACATTTTTATGGAATAATAGTTTAAATCTTACGAAATATAGTTTGATGGGCTAAATTCAGTTTTTTTAGAATTTACAAAGGTTAAATAAACTACTTATCACTTCTATCGCCATAATTTTTCTTAAAATATAAGATTTTTGTTCTTTTTTCTTTTTATTATTATGACCAATATTTTTAAATTTAATTAATTAATATGATACATTTTTTTTGTCTGTTTTTCCTTTTAACCATGGTCTGGTCCGATAAAAAATAAAGATTTTAATGATTAAATCATAAAAGAAACATATATATGATTCAAAATTTTATGAAATAATTACTTTATAAAAAAACAATAAATAAATAAATAAATAAATAAACAAATAAATAAAACGAAAGATTTGATAGATGGTTAAACCAAAAAATTTCGAACTAAAATGACTTTTACCGAACTTGGACTTTAAAATATATTACCAATTTACAAAGATTAGCAATAAAGTATTATATAAAGTGGATACAACCACAAAAATGATGAAAAATAACTTATGAAAAATATATTATTGATTTATAAGCATTATAGATTATAAAATTTACATTAAAAAAAAAAAAACTATTTTCCAGCCAATATTAATAACAATTCTATAATTTTTTTTTAAAAAAAAGAGTACTAAAAATATCATGTAATGTACTAAAAAGACAAAATACATAACAATCTGAGATAAAATAAATAAATAATAATAAGTAAACATTAACAACATTTGAAAAGAAATTTTTTTTTTTGAAAAAACATGGTTAAGCAGTCACGTGTGCCAGCTGATCAGATACTTGTAGAACATTACATACCAGGAACATCATCGGCGATTCGAGGTTCAGTATGGTGGCCGCTGCAAACGACCACCGCATCAAACACCTCCGCCACCGAACCCATCTCCATCGTCTTCCACTCCACCACAAAATCACCATCTAATGAATCGACTCGCACCACCTCCGAGTTAAACCGAATCACCTCAGTGACTCCGAACTCGTTAGCAAAATCCTGCAAAAACTTTAGAACCTCTTCATGACCGGGGAACATTCTCGGATCACCGTAGTATTTGTCTTCAAATGAGTAATCGGAGAAACCCATGAGTGGCCGGGGGAGATTTGTTCGGAGGGATGAGTAGAGACTGCTGTGGACAACGGATCTATTGGGGTTAAGGTGAAGAACATCGTCGGCCTCGACTTGGGGTTCGTAAAGCCAGGTTCCACCGAGACGGTTTGACTTTTCAAAGATGGTGACTCGGTGGTTCTCTCGGAGAAGCTCCCGGGCGGTGAGTAGGCCGGAGGTGCCGGCTCCGATGACAGCGATATTCAGAGAATATGTCATGATGATGGGGCGGCGTAAGCTAAGTGGGATTGGGTAAGTGAAGGAGTATGTTTTTTGTAAGTGAAGGAGTATGTTTTTTGGTTAAGTCGATTTGGTTTTTGGGATTTGTCTAAATTTGACAAAATAAATATTATATAAATCAAATTGTATCAGAATTTTGTTGTGAGGATTTGTCTATATTTGACAAAAATAATATAACTTAAACAAAATGTACCATAAGTGCCTTGGTTAGAATTTTGTTTCGAAAATGAAATCAACGCTTGATGAAATAAGTTTATGAAATCTTCACTTTGATATGAATTATTAAACACATTATATTCATTTCATTTAGCATTTTCGGTAATCTAACATTAAAATTTAATCGATTAAAAGGAGTAAAAATATATAGCATACACATAATTAAAGTAAATAAGTGAAAATTTTACTCGTAAAATCGTCAACTCATCGGAATCAGATGTCATTTATCCTTTCCCATTTTGACCAAAATATAAAGATATTTTTGGATACATTCCCGAGTGTCTTAATTACTGCCCATTAAGTAGAATATGTTGGGCCGGACATCACTCCGAAATGTCCCATTCAAAAATACGTAGTTATTTTTTAAAAAAGAAAAATAATTGTTAATTTATTCAAAATGCCTTAAACATTTGTTTAGGTTATTCAATTTCCCATATAAATGTGGTTAAATTTAAAGAATGACATACTTTACGGTTACACCAGAAAGTCGCTGATATTTCCACGGCAAGTTTTGATATTTCCACGGAAAAAGTTATATAGTGACAATTATACCCCTATTGAGAAATCCTAGACTCCTAGTCTTTGTTTAAAAAAGGACCCACAAACGTGAAACGACGCACAACGTACGTACGCTTCATCCTCCTTCAACGCTGCTCTTCAGACGGCGCTGCTTTTACAGCTTCTTCTTCAACCGATTCTCAAACGGTAACTCCAAATTTTATTTATATTGCTTAAAATAACAAACCTATGAGAACAACTACTACTGTCATTTAGAGCAGTTGACCCAACAATACGATTTTTGTGCCTTAGTTTCATGAGATCAAGAACATCATAAATTGATGCCACGTGAACAAGGCTAGCATCTGGAACATTGAATCCATTATGTGAACTGTTACGAATTTCTAATGTAATATTACATTAAGGAATCCGACAATGAGAATGTTTTTGTTTCTATGCAAATATTTAATATGATAAAATTTATTGGATGAAAAGGATATCTCTTGCTTAAACCCTCGGTAAAGAGGAGATCACGAAAATTGAGTTTATGTTAAATAACAAGCACATTGATTATATGTTAAATTTATTGGATGAAAAGGATATCTTATGTATATCCTAGGATGAAAATGACATCTTTTTAGTTGACTCCTTGGCTAGTCTTTGTAAGATCCTTTGGTCCGATCTAAATGAATAACAATTAACAAGCAAATGGATTACATGTTAAATACTAAATATTGCTTCAGATACATCCTCTATAATTTATAGAATGAGAAAGTATGTTACCATAATACCATTGTATGTGTTTTTCCGGATCCAGTTTGACCATATGCAAGGATACAAACATTTAAAAAAATTATAGTTGATCGTGTAAAGAATGACCAAAGAAGAAGAAAAAAGATATATTAAAATTAGGGGTGGCAAATCGGGTCATCGTGTCGTGTTTTTGTCTGACACGACACGACACGACAAGGTTTTATGTAACACGAAAACGACACGACACGATCTCGGGTTTTTTTGAACTAACACAAAAACGAACCGATTAAAAAACGACAAACACGACACGACACAACAAAGATAACATGAAATAACAATTAATGTATTTAATTAATATTTATTCATACATAACACGAAAAACACGACAAACACGAAAAACACGACAAAAAATGTTAAATCGTGTCAATTTCGTGTCAAATTTTGAACACGAACACGACACGACACGACGTCGTGTTTTTTACACCTGACACGAACACGACACGAACACGAATTCGAATTTCAATTTCGTCTCAATTTCGTTTCGTGTCGTGTATTTTTGTCGTGTCGTGTCATCAATTGCCACCCGTAATTAAAATGAGTATAAATGTTAAAAGAACGAAACTGATATAATCAATGAACTAAATAAAAAAATATAATTGTTATTTTTATAAATATTTATAATTTAGTAAATGAAAATAAAAGATATAATTATCAAATAAAATGAGTTGCATGATTTTGAATATATAAGTTTTGGAAACAGTGCGTTTTTCTTAAACAAAATTGGGAATTTCTCTTATTTGTGTAAACAAGGGTATTATTGTCTTAAATTAAAATTTTCAGTGGAAACATCAAAAATACTCCGTGGATTTATCAGCACCCCTTTTATTTTGCAAAAAGGTTACCGTCCTAGCTTCCTATTACTAGAGCAACACATGGAAGATATATCAAGTACTAGTATGGTGGTTGGAACTGCTAAGACTAAAACTCCATATTACAGGTAAAGTAAGTTGAACTCTTAATTTTTTGCAAATATACCATTTAGAACCAATTTTTCTACACATGGAGAGTGAGTCTCCCTTGTTATGTTTAGGGTTTTAAGATTAGAAGGGATATATTTATAAAGATAGAATACCGAAAATATCCATGTCGGTCTTGGCTTTGGACTCCTACATATGTAATAGCTACATGAAATACTATTTGATTTTTTGTCTACTCTGGCTTTTGAATAATCAAATGCAACTACATGTTAACTACACAACAATCACCCTATTGTTCCCATGTATTTTTGGGTAATCTGCTCCCATTCTGCAAACATAACAATTTAACGAATCAAGCTCCAGCTAAATTCGGCTCGAATACACTCACTTGACAAACACATTTCAAACAAGACAATATAGTAGATGAAAAAACTAGTATATTTCATTTACAATATAAATGTTAATATCATCATCTTCTAAAATGGCAATACAATACCAAAAATAGTGTCCCACCTTTGTGTAGATAGAACAAAAAAATTGCATTTTTAATCTCATTGAAATGGTGGTTACCTCAATTTCATGTCAAACACGGTATAATACTGTGATACAAATGGGGGCTCTTTGTATTTGTAACATCCCCAAAATCAAGATAAAAAAATTTCATTTTAAAATTAAAAGAAACCACTGTTTTCAAACAAAACTCATATCAAAATCAAGTATCAAATACAAATATCCATAAAGTCTCCAAAAACATAACATCAAAGGATGTGTACGATCACGTCCTTGCTTTCCCACGATCATCTGAAGTATCTGAAACATAAAACTTAAACCGTAAGCACGAATCTTGGTGAGTTCCCCCAAGTACCATCACACAAACACATAACATCATGCATATTAGGTCTACAACTAACAGACTGAATTACCCTGAGCCCACAGCACGAGTTTGGCTTGCCTTACTGGCCCAGGGCTCATGTCTAGTTTGCTCTCGAGCCCACAACATAAGTTTGGCTTGCCTTACTAGCCCACAACTTATGTCTGGATTGCTCCCGAGCCCACATAAGTCTGGCTTGCCTTACTGGCCCACAACTTATGCCTGGCTTGCTCCTAGGTTTGCTGGATTCCGCACAGAGCAGGATTGCCTCAACCCAACCATACTATGTCGATATATACATAATCGATAACATATATCCAGCAAACAGATAATCATATAACCAATCAGACAAACAGGAAAATCTACAGATCACTACCTCATAGCAACATCCTACATACCAGGACACAGATCTTAACAGATCACTACAACATAGCAACATCCTCTATACCGGGATACATAACCTAGTGGGACAGCATTGGTGCCTTCGACCTACAAGTATAGTGGGGAGAACTCACCTCTCAGTCTGAAAAGATTGTTGAACAGGACACTGTTCCGTTTATCAGCTCTACTGGTCAATTATTCATTGGAATATGACCAAACTTAACTTATAATCAAAATACCCTTAGGTCAAACTTGGTCAAACCCTGGTCAAAGTCAAAAAGTTAAAAGCCCATCTGAGTCAAGTTAGCTGAGTACGCTGGCCGTACTCAGCTTGTACGCAGGGCGTACTCGAGCTTTGACCAATTACATGGTGTTGACTGCATATACGCATCGTACCATTTGGTACGCCCAACGTATGCGACTACCTCTTCTCCCTTCTATTAAGAGCTTAATCCTTTAAGCTCTTTCGTCCAAATTCCAAATCTAGTCCTCAAATGATGTCCTTAACCATAAAGTTCCCAACTTTATGGTCTTGCATGGCTATTAAGTGCTCAATACCAAAAACCCTAACTTCTTAACTCATTAAGACATCCTAGTTCATGCATGGAAGGAAACTATTGATCAATATCACATTTTTATGTTTCTAAACACACCAAAACATCTGAAAGGACAACTTATATGAATTAGAGTAACCCATACTCATAACACCAAGCTTATGGTACCAAAAGAACACAAACCCATGGCTAAACAAGATCTAATCAATACTTCATCAAGTTTAGAGCTTTTACCTTCAAATGGTGTCAAATGATGATGTGATTCTGGATCCAAAGTGTTCCACTCTTCTAAGATGGTCTCCTCTTCTTTCTTACTCCTTCAAGATCACTAAAACACACACAAATGGCTCAAGATGCTATCAAATGGATTAGGGTTTGTAAAGGGGTCGAAATGGGGCTAGAGGCTGATGAAAGAAAGAATCCTTCAGAGTTAAGGATGTTTAAATATGGTCCAAACCCTAAAAATTAGGGTTTGCACCCCAACTACCTATGCCCAGCGTACGCATGCAGCCACCAAAATTTACAAAAATGCCATTGGGGCCAAAATGCAAACAATTCTCATACTAAGGGCATAAATGAAAATATATGGAAATTTAGATGTTACAATTCTCCCCCCACTTAAATCAGACTTCGTCCTCGAAGTCACTCCTTACTACCCTTCAGACATACCCGAGAAATTGGGCAATTCTTCCACGACCCTGGTCCGAACTGAGCATTCGACTCATACAAGCGACTCCCTTACCATTCTACAATCGAAACCTAGTCTTAGAAGAAC